CAGAAATAAGTGTTTTGCTTTAAAATTGTTAAAGACTTACAGGCCAAGTGAATAATTCAGCTTTATTAAGTTCTATAAATAAATTGTGATGGAGTAGTATATTTTCTGTTTCATTCTCATATAAAGAATGCAACATTTTCTCGGGTTTCAGGGCAACGCAAAGCAAGATTTCGCATATAAAAGGGCAGAACTTTTTTTGAGAAAAGAAAACGCTATAAGCTTACTATCAGTTTGCAAAAGCCTTTTCAACTGTGCGGTTGCAAATATTTTAGTGCGCTCTGCGAAAAGTGGTTAGTGAGAAACTGACGTAGAGTTTGAATTTCTAATACTTTATTTTGGTTCTTCGTGGATATATTTAATTATAATTCAGGTAGTTTTCTATATCTTTTAGTATGCTTCTATGAAAAAAATTTATTTGGCTTAAGAACTCGAACTTGGCTAATGTGATATAGTCAAAGTGGTTCAATGTGATATGGTATATCACATTAAACACACAGTATATCACATTTAACAAATTACTTATCCTGTAAATACAAGTAAGGGAAAATTAAATTATATCCATAGGTCATGCCAAAGAAAGGCGAAATTCGTTAGTGGGATGCAGAAAATATGAAAAAAGCCATCCAGGCTGTTAGAGGCGAGAATATGGGAATACTTTTGGCTTCAAAAACGTATGGTGTTCCATTTGCAACGTTGCAAAGAGCTGCCCGCAGTGATAAAGCAGTCGATGATATATTAGCCACGCCATTGGGACGTACCCAAGATGTGGAAGTGGAGCTGGTAAGGTATTTGGAAGAAATGGAGGTTAAGTTTTGGGGACTCACTCGTAGTGATGTCCGCTCGCTTGCATTTCAAATAGCGAAGCGAAACAATATTGAAAACCCGCTTCCTATAATGAAAGAATACGCTGGCTGCGTGCCTTTCTAAAAGGACATAAACCTGAAATAAGCCTACGCAGTGCCACCGGTACTTCAATAGATAGAATAAAAGGCTTCAATGTGGAAAATGGGAGCAAGTTTTACAGTTGGCTGGAGCCAGCCGGAGTATGAGAAGCATACATTTTCGAATTCGGAACGTTGATGAGACAGGAGTTTCTATTGTACAAAGTAAGCAGCCGAAAATCGTAAAAAGAGACAAAGCGTAAAAGAGGCACAAAAACCGGCTAGAATGGTGAAAGTACAACGGCTAAAGCAAGCTGGGAAAAGTTCGCCAAGCGAATCGGACAAAAGTTTGCTTCTACCCTGTTCAGATGAGAAATGTTGGGCAGAAACTCCACCTAGTAAGGATACTTTTTGCGCTTTTTGCAACAAATCCTTTGAGGCGGATGAGGAAGCCAAAACGTGGATACCATGCTTGCATTGCGACTTAGTATGGGCGCATAGCAAATGTTTGCCTAAACGTCAAGCAATATTTGTCTGCGAGTCTTGTGAATAAATTTGGAAATGCATATGCATGTATAAACCCATATAATAATTTTAATTTTTGTACTCCAATTTGCGTACTTGACTGTATTTTATTTTGTTTATTCTTTGTGAATTCTGTTTAAAAAAATTAAATATGTATCTATTTTGTTCTTAAAAAATGAAGTATCTAGAAATATTTTAACGAATTTTTCTTATTAATTTAAATATAAAAAAATAATTGTTTCTTTAAGGAGAGCTTATGGGTAATGTGATATGGTATATCACTTTGCTCGATTGGGTACATGACATTACCCCCCAATTTCGAAAACCGACTTTTTTGACTATTTGTGGTTTTAATGAAATATCTTAGGAAATGCTTGTTATAAAGGAACATAATTTTAGAATATCCTGCAAATGCATCAATTAATTAAATTGCATGGTTAAATGAAGGTTTACCTTAAAAACTTTTGATTAATAGTCAAAAAACGTATACCTACATATATCACAATACCCTAACTTACTCTACTATCCCTGAAAATACAATTCGTGCACCTTGACTTTATGGTCACTTATAGTCAATTATTGAACTTGGATAAAATCAGTTTTTGCTGACACGATCAAACTTATGAGAGCGCCATGTAAATGAACACTCATGCGTGCTTTTCTCTCTCTATCAACAGTAAATTTTATATGTTGCTACGTCAAACAGACACGGCATACGTACACGTCGGTGAGTGTGGGCACCTTTGTTTTGTGGGAAATTTTGCCCCTTATTCTAATTACCTTAAACGAGCAATTTTTGTGTATATGTCGCAGCCCTAGAGTTACACTGTTGTAAGTCACATTTTCTCAAAATCTGACTTTTCACTACTACATAGATGTATGTCGATATGCCTAAGTTCTCATAGCGTTTCAAAGTCCTAAATCCAATATTATGACGTAGGCAACAAAAGTTACCTAGTTGTATGACGATTAAATCATCACATTTCAGTTACTCAGTTGTATGTGTCACATACAACTTTGTGACAGAAGGAAACGAATATTCTTAGTTGACATACAGTTTTGTTGTCCCGAGCGGTTTGACGTGTGTTTTTGTTAGTCGCGAAAAGTTTGCAAAAAACAAAACCTTAGTTCGCAAAGTGAGGTTAGGTTAAGGGTTTTGCTATCGCCCACCTGTTTTGCGTGTGTTTTTTTTTAATCGCGAAAAGTTTTCAGTGATAACGTAAAATCTAAAATTTTTCTTAAAGGTGTGTTATGGACTTAAATGGTAAGTTGCTTAGACATCTTAATATTGTAAAGATAATTAAAATTGTCTTCTTTTTTGCATAAAAGAATTTAGTTCACAAAGTGAGGTTAGATTTAACCAAAACTATTTTGCAGATTTAGAAATAATTATTTGTTTGTCTCCCCTAGAAAAAATAGAAAATATGGACTCTGATACTGAAACACTGGCGGATTTGAGGTAAAATTTCTAATTTTTTTAATGGCAAGAGTAAAAATGAAAAACATTGTACTAACTTTTTTAGAACAAAAATACTGAACGAAAAGATAATTGTGAGCTCCACTGGAAGCTCCACTTCACGTGATTTACAGGTAGCAGATTTGGATGACATCATAAATACTCATGGTTATGATTCTGACAAAGATCCAGACCAGAGAAGGACGGACTACGAGAAGCACATTGAAGAGAAAAATGCAGCTCGAGCAGAAAAACAGAAAGATAGAGACAATGGAAATATATTTTTAGTCTTTGATATGCAGAACGTATTATCATGTCCTCGTGCTGAAGTGAGTAACTTTTACTATAAAAGTAAACTCAATGTCTACAACTTGACTGCAACTCTTTCGAGCACAAAGCAAGTATATTGCTCATTGTGGAATGAAGCCATAATGGGGAGAGGTGGCAATGATATTGCTAGCGCTCTTATCAAGATTTTGGAAGCAGTGTTTTCAGATAATCCGCAGTTGATCGTTAGTTTTGTGGAGCGATAGCTGCGTGCCCCAAAATAAAAATTCACTCATGTCACTTGCTATTTCTACTTTTATGCAGAGCCATCCACACATTGAATTAATTACAATGAAATTTTCAACCCCTGGACACTCATGCAATCAGGAAATTGATGCCGTACACAGCTGCATAGAACGGGTTTTGAAAAAATCGGAATATTACTCCCCGGTTTCCCTTTTACGTTTAATTTTGAAAGTAAATTCCAAAAAGCCTTATAAAATTATGCAACTCAAAGAAAATGACTTTAAAGACTACAAAACATGTGCAGCTTTGTACAATTACAAATTGGTGCCTTTCAGTCAAGTCACTACTCTTAAGTTCTCTCGATCTCTTCTAGAGATAGAGTACAAAGTAAGCCACTCTCACCAGGAATGGAAGAAAGTTTGTATTCGTGAATATCGAGGTACACGATCCGAATCTACAGGTGGAGATAATTTTATGCGACCTCCAACTAACATATCTGTATCAAAAACAATTCCTCAGAATAAAACATTAGCGATAAGAAGTATGTTTAAATACATGCCAGCAGTAGACCAAGCCTATTATAACTCTATATTGCCCAAATAGTTTTTGTTAATATGAATAATCGTTAAACTACAAATAAACTAACAAAACCAACAAGTTTAATTAGAAATTTACTTTAAGTTCAGTTACTAATTTAGAAGAAATACAAAGTTGTATGTTACTTTACTAGCAATCAAGTTTTTTCGTTACTGACACATAGTTGTATGTTTTTTTTTGATATTCTAAATCTAATTGAAAAATAATAATTTGATGAGAATTTTGGTCAAATATCAAATACTTTTACAATACAAAATATTATCCCAAATCCACAACAACGTGCGTTTCTTTGTTACGGCATAACAACAACCATATTTTTCATTTTCGATTTTCTCAAAACTGATTTAGCTGCACATAGAACAGTGTAACTCTAGGGCAGCGATGTATCTGTATCCATAAGTTTCTCAGCAACGGCTCTAACGTAGCAAAATGAAAAATCATTTTAAAAAGACTTTCGAAGTTTTATTTCTTCCAATTGTCAAAAACTTTTTATTTGTCACGGGGAAAATACCGTAAAGATTATTTGTATCGTGCGAATATCTATAGAAATTATCAGGGTTAGAAAAACTGTTAGCACAGCGACAACAGCCAAGCATTTGCTTTTTTTATAAGCTTTAATTTAACTTGGTCATCCCGCGCAAATCGCGGAAATTTCCAATCGATTTTAAACTGACTTCCCGACAAGTTAGAGACTTGAAATTTTCAGCATAGTTCCAATCACGATGATAATGCAATTTGAAATATAAATGAATTCCCCATATGGTCCAGGGGTCTTGATTCAAAGGCGGTCAAAAAATAGTAAGATTTATGGCTAACAGAGCGTAATTTGCCAAAGAACGTAAAACCACTATAAAATTGTTAAAGCTGCCGGCGCGCCGTGGCGGTAGTGTAGCAAAGCTATTTGTAGCAAATTCTAGACTCCAGATGTCGCCCCGCCAGAAGAAGTTAAATATTGCGCCTAAATATATGCCATGCTACAGCGGAAATGGACGACACGCCATTTCCTTAAATAAAATTAACTGCTGCTATATGTACATATGTATGTTTATACAAAACAAAAGCAAACAACATTTTGCTTGCCAAGTCTTCTGCTCTCTCTCATTGCAAGTTGAATTATTTTAATATCTATTGCAAAATTTTGTACATAAAATAAAATAACACTTTTTAATATACAACGCTTTTATAAATGGACTAAAAATTATAAAATAAAATAAAAATATTTTTTAAAAACAAGCTTTTATTTAACCTGTACAATCAAAGGAATAAAATGAAGTAGAGTAACAAAAGATTTTTTAGCAAGATAATTTCGTCAAAACTGCACTAAAATGAATAAAATAAAGTTACTAAAAGCCATTTAGTGAAAGGGGTTATTCAAACTTTAATGAAAATTACTAACAATTTGTAGTAATTTACTTCGTTTTTAAAAAAGCTTGTCGGCGAATTCAGCGTACATGTATAGTTGGTAAGGTATGTATGTATATGTATGTATGCAGAAATTTAAATGCCGGTTTGCTATTCGCGCGACAAGCTTTAGTACAAATTGTTAGTAATTTTCTCTAGAGTTTGAATAACCCCTTTCACTAAATGGCTTTTAGTAACTTTAACGAGACCTTAACTTATTTTATTTTATTCATTTTAGTGCAGTTTTGACAAAATTATCTTGCTAAAAAATCTTTTGTTACTCTACTTCATTTTATTCCTTTGATTGTACAGGTTAATAAATAAAAGCTTGTTTTTAAAAAATATTTTTTTTACATTATTTTATTTATAAATTGTTGCTTTGCTAGCCGGCAATTACAAGCACCTGATGAAGATCTTGCAGAAGCAATGAGCTTAGCCGACGACGCTTTAAAGGAATTTGAAGAAATGCGACTAGATGCAGAAAAAAACTTTAATTTGCTTTTCGAACACGTATAAGAAGTATGCACCAACCTAGGTACAGAAATCAAAGTACCGCGATACAGCAGTCGCCAAAAGAATCGCTTTAATGTGAAAACCGGAGACGCCGAGGCATACTATCGCAATGCTTTTTACATTCCCTTCCTTGATACATATATTGCTCATTTGAAAAGCCGGTTCCTAAACCATAAATCAGTTTTAAAAAATTTTAGTGTTTTGTTTCCAAAGTATGATTTTAACGAAAAAAAAACTGAAGAATTGTTTGCTTTCTATGAAAAAGTAATCGACGAGAATTAAAACCTACTTGAGAAATACAACATGTCAAGAAAGGCTCAACGGTCTAGCATCTATGAATATTCACAAAGATATAAATTTTTCAGTTGACGAAGTTCTATAAGAATTTTTCAAAAAACCACGAAAAATTTGAAAATTCTTCGTTTCATTGATTTATAAGTAAAAAGAAAAATTTAATGTGTTTAAAATTATCAAAATGTTTTATAAATAAAGCGAAAAATTGAATATATGATTTTAAAAATTCGTGTTTGAAACTTTATTACGCATACTTTCTTCTAAGGAGCCTTTTTTCTATACCCATATTAGTGAAATATTATTCTTTGACTTTAACCCCCAAACCCCCGACGACGAGCTCGCCATCGGATGAAAAGCGAGCAGACCACAAAAACAACTCGTATGTAGCACTAACTAAAATTGTAATACTTTTGCATTAAAACTACACCTCGTTCCAAAATAAAAACCTACTACAAGTTTTAACAATAAATTTTTTTGATTCAATTTTTGATTTTATAAAAATTTAGTTCATTCATTAACAAAAACAATATAAATCCAATTTAAAATTGTGTGCAATATTTTAAAAAAATCAGCAAGCTTTCCCAAAAACATCGGGAAAAACATCGATGTTTTAATTCGATACATCGAGCTTCCATCGATGTAATTTTTCGAAACATCGATAGTATCTTAAATATGATTGTATGTATGCCATTCTGGCATTACGCATATATGTATGTACATATAATACATATGGGTATTTCCTGGGTTACGGACGCGACATTCGTACGACTTTAGAGTTAAATAAATCATACGAAAACTGAAGTCACTTGTAAAAAAAATTGCTGTTGTGTAGCTTTTATACCGTCCTTTGGTTGACAAAAAACTAGGTGCGCTTGGAACACTGAAGTCGAGAAAATCGATGAAAAGTAGGGCATAACGGACGCGACAAAAAAAGAAGTGATTTCAGAGTACATGTTAAAACTAAGCAAAACTCAGCGAATCGTGTAAGGTTTTCCTTTATTAAACATTCTTTAAATAAAGTCTAATTATGGACCGTTACAACCAATTCATTTTTAATCAGAAGCAATTTGTTGTTGATTTAATTTTGAATTAAAATCTGGTAACGGACGCGACATATCGGACGCGACAGATTTTCCCCCCATACAATATTTTTACTAGTAACACATACTAAATTTAATTTTTTATTTAATTTTTTCAGTTCTTCCCTCCACAGTCTCCCGTTTTCAAAGCCTCTTTTCGCCATCTGAATGCGAAATATAAAGTTATAAAGCCGTTTAAATTCATTTACTTGCATTTTCGGTTTACCTTTTTTGGGAAATGCCCATATGTGTGTACGAAATTGGCGAATACTAAAAAAGCTTTATGTAAAAATCGGCAAGTGGAAAAAACTGAAACAAGCTGTTGGTTTTTTAACCCTAGAAGCCCAATCTACTTGAAAATTACGTAAAGCCCAAACATACTTCTTAGAGGCGTCGGTGACTTAAAAGACAACCTGTGAGCTAAAATATACTTATTTCTGCCCAATTTTTTTTTAAAGAATATTGATGTTGTGATATAAACTATTAATAAAACAAAGTCTTACTATTAAAACTACAATCACAATTATTTAAAACAACAAAGTATAACGGCACTTTTGTGTTCAAATTGAAAAAATCCCGATTCGCCTTTTTGACGCAGATTGGGCTTTTAGGGTTAACCGACTTCACAAAAAGGAGCAGGTTATCAATTCGTCGGAATATGTTTTTTTATGTATGTTACCGCATAACTTTAGCCCAGGTTAACCGATTTCTATAATTTACTTATATATTTTTTAAAGGAAAGGTGTTACCTCACAGGTGGTCCCATATTAATTTGGTTTAAATCTGATAATTTTATCATGAAGAAATTAACAATAATCTTAAATTTGTATATGAGAATTGAAGTTGGTTGCTGCTGCAATAGTTTTGGTTTACTAAAGGGAATGCATCCTGCTTACAGCGCTCTTACACGATATGTATTTGCATGTGTAAATGCTACTTTTTTGTATCTACTCGTATGCACATTATATTAGAACGTAACAGAAAAGTAGAATTTACATATGCAAATACATATCGTGTAAGAGCGCTATTAACAATGCAAAATTCTCTAAAGGAAATCTCTAAGGACACAAACTTACTCAAAAAATTGAGTATACGGGATTTCTTGTTAATATTCGCAATGTTTTTCGCATTAAATATTTTTTGTTAATTTTGTATTAAAACATGGCTTAGGGCCAATTTCAAATGCATATTTAAACGGCACTTAAGTTTAATTGTGGATTGTTGTTTGAATGTCATTTAGCTTTCGTTGGGTTTCAGATCAACTTTGTTTAAATATGCCAAACAATTGGCAGCACTGCTGCTTTTTCCTTGAAATTGTTGTTGCATTTGCTTGTTTGTTTACATTTTGTGCTGAACAGCTGATTGTATTTTGGTAGGATTTGGTGGGATTGATTAAACAACCTACCAATCCATATTGGTTGTTTGGTACAAAGACAGGGTTGCATATCTCATATTTAAATAGCCAATATTGGCCACTTAAGTGCAGATTAAATGTATGATTTGAAAATGAATAGTGGAAGTTAATCAACAATCTCTCCTTAAGTAGGCCATCTGAAATTGGGCCTTAGATTTTAACAAACACCATATAATCCAAGTTTCAACCTTCGTACGAAATTTATGAGTATTTGCAGTTTCATCAAAATTGCAAACTTTTTAATGAGTAATTAAAAAAATCCAGTACATATTTGTACGGTTTATAGCCCCTTCAATTTTAGTATAATAATGTGCAAATCTTAAATTTCTTAGTCCTGGTGGATTTTTGATTTTTTTGCTGACGGTGCTACGCATTTTCTTCCATATAAAACAAATTTTGAGCATACTCTAAGGTAGCAAAATTTTACTTATCCATGTCTCATTACAAACAAAAATATAAAAAGCATCTACAAATCATCATGCATATGGATATGTATGTATGTATGTACATACATGTCTAAATTAAACAGCTCTGAAAACGTAGCATTGCGCATCAGGAAAATAACAAAATAGGTGTTTACTCGTACGCCTAACTATCTAAAGTTTTAGAAAACTTTTACTGGTTTTGCGTTCTCGTACCCCAAAAACTTGCAAAGTAGGGGAAATTGAGAGAGCAAAATGTGAAAGAGAGCTGCAAATTTCTGCTGGAAAAATTTTTCCCAGCGAAAACTTGCAAGTAAGAAAATCAGCTGATCACAAACACATGTTTGTATATAAACAAAAGAAAATATGGCCTTTTTGAGTTATTTATTGCAAATTTTATTATTTAATGCTAGTATATAACTAAAAAGTGCGTAAATTTAATAAGCACAACGTTTGTTGAATTTACTTTTCGTTAATTTGCTATTAATCTCCAGTTTGTTTACTTTAGTGCGTGCTGACTATGGTTGCCGTATGACATTTTTCGTTTGTACCATAAATTTCCTTTAAATATACCAAAATAGATTTAAATGAAGCATTCTGAAATGTTTTTTTGCTGAAGTTTTCGGTTTTGGTAGGTTGATTGTTGAAATTAAAATTTTATAATTTTAAACCTACTCTATTACATTATTTTGGATCAAAGATGGGTGTTTGGAGGAGATACTCTTGTTTTTAATGCGTCACTATGTGATATCAGAAATAATTATGAGAAAACTAACTTATTCATTCCGATATAATTAATTCGTATTTTAAAAACGTTTTTCTTAACCAAAACTATTCAATTGTATAAAATGCCAAATCGGGGGAAAATGCACCAAGCAGAAAATAAATTGCCAAATTAATCACCAGTGGCAACTGTGCAAGTGAACAGCTGTTTCGAAGGTTGCAAGTTTTTGCAAATTTTGCGTTCTCGTACTTCTGTTGATATTTCGTCTCTTTGAGAGCGAATGCTGCTAAATTCTCAGAACTTTTTCTGCTGGAGAATTTTGTCCTCTCAATACGAGTACACACCTAAAGATTGCCAAGTGCTGCCTGCTGCAGCAGCACATGACTGCCTGCAAAACATTCGCCACAATCGAAACATTTACTAGCTTACTCGTTCACTCATGGATGGACATGGCCGATCGATGAACGTAAGTATTCAGTCAGAGAGAGACAAGAGACTGCTCTTATTGCTCTCTTATTTCGCTGTGAATATTCACCACGTTGTACACTAGCTTCTATGAATTGAATGAGCAGTACACTCACATTCGACTAAGTCGTGTAAATGCTAGAAATGAATGTCGCATGCAGGGTTCTCATGTTTAACACAGAGAATATTTAGGGTATTCACAGTTTACTTCTAAAGTTAAAAAGTGGTAACTTTAACAAGATAACACACTCGAACTGTGAGCAACCCTTACGTTTAAATAAAGTATTAAGTTGATCAACAATACCACGCATTGCTAGACCGTTTGCCTTTCACGCGTTTGTGTTTAGAGAGCATCAACAAACCACATGCATATTTCCCTCTATTCTCTCTTCTCTTTTTTATACTCAGCTAGCACAGCGCAAAAAAAAGAACCTTTGCCAGCTTCACCGCGGAAACACAATGCCGGCGAACGGCGAACTCACCACAGCGAAATTACCGCTGTCAAAATTAGAATACCCATCGGCATATGAAATTGAACACAGCAAAAGCGAAATGCGAAGTTCGCACGGCGGCGTTTCGTGGCGATAGATTTATTTCTTTCGCTCTGCCGGGCGATGGCGGCAGTACATGCCAAAGGTGGCCATATGTTTTTTTACTTTCAAAGATTTAGAAGAAAACACTTGTAACCCGAATTATTTTTGATGGCATGAAAAATACAGTGATCGATTCGTTAAATCTGGCTAAAAATAAAATAATTTAAGGGGGAATCCCTTGCTTTATATTTATGTTTGTTATCATTTCATCATTTCTAAATATAGTTTCGTTTTTCAAAATATGGTCACCTAACTTATAAGTACGACGAAGTGGTATCAGTTGTTTTCGCTACCGCTCTAATTCTGTTAAAGTAGGCGAAATAGCAGGGCGAACGGTGAACGACGGCATCGCCCAATTCTGCGAACTTCGCCGTTCGCCGGATATTGTGTTTCAAGCATCAGGCAGGCGCAAAGCGAAACTTATGTACAAGCAGCGCTGCGCCCAAAGCGAAATTCATGTATGTATGTACAAGCAGCGATAGATGCCAGTTTAACACAAAACATAAACATGAGACAAAGTCGAGTAATTTTACCCAAAAGTGTTATCTCAAATTAGTATGGGAACCAACAACAAACAAAGTTGCCACATGGTAAAATGTTTTAAAGTTACCAGGTGGCAAAATTAACACAGTAGATAATATAGAACTGTGAGCACCCTAAATGTTTTAAAGTTACCAGGTGGCAAAATTAACACAGTAGATAATAGGTGCGTTCGTTTAAAATCTTCAACAGAAACCAACCAACTGCCAAATTCCGGCGAAATGTTATCTGTTCGCTCACGAGAGAGAAATATCCAAAATAGTACGCGAACAGAAAATTTGCAGAAACTTGCAAGTTAGACGAACAGCTGATATAATTTTTGTTTACATACAAAAGTGTAAAATTTAAAACGTACGAAAAGTCATCGCAAAGTGTTATACTGACACAGTTTATTGATTAAACAAATAACTACTTATTTCTTACAAGTTTAATTAGTCGCATTTTGTAATTTTTATCTTCCAAACCATCAAATTAAATTTTGTGATTTGCGTAAATGCCAACCAGCTGTTTTTGATCAGCTGTTTCCCTGTTGGCAAATTGCTGTTGGCAAAAATTTTTCCAACAGAAACTAACAGCTTCCCCTCAAAATGAAATGTCACTTTGCTCTCTCAATTTCCCCTACTTTGCAAGTTTTTTGCGTACGCGAACGCAAAAACCTGTAAGTTTTGGTTAAACATGAACAATTAACAGCTACGCGAACGAACCTAATATTGAACTGTGAGCACCCTAAATGAGTTTTCTCCGGAACTATCTTCCACCGGTAATGATTTTTGAGGGCTTTGTTTTCTCCTGAAAAGTATTTATTATTAAGATATATTACATAAATCTATTCTACAACAAAACTGTATATTGTTTGTCTGTTTGAACTCCTAATCTCCGGAACTGTTGAATGGATTTTCATGGGGCTTTAACTGGTATACAGAGAGTGACCTCGGACGTAACCTAGGGTATAAAAAAATGATATCAAACAAGGGGGCGTAGCACCTCCCATACGCGTGACATTTGTAATCAGCCATAACTTCGAAACCGTACGTCACATGACTTTGAAATTTGGTGTGTTGACATACATATCAACGGTAGATGCTTATTGTAAAGTAGATATACTTTTGTAAAAGGGGCGTGGCTCATCCTATAGGTGTGAAATTTTTAATTAGCCATAACTTCGGAATCATACGTCACATTAATTTGAATTTCCGCTCTGCACCGTATAATATACTTTTGCACAAAAAAGGTGCCGACAGATGGCGCTGGAGTCGAAATATTAAGAGAACCCGTCTTTATGGTATGACCTGGATTAACGGGTATTAACTTTATGATAAGAAGTACTTCTGCAAAAAAAGGGACCCAAAACATAGATAGCGCTGAAATCATGATATTTAGATGATCACCTACAAATTTACATTTTAGATGACTTAATAAGATACCATTCTTTAAGTGTGCATACAAAGAAGCGCAAAATTGCTTCAGCTCCACAGATATCCTAGGCACATCAACGGGTCATGGTATATCAAGAAGAAGTGTGCTGAATTAGAGAGAACACGGTAGGAATATTAAGGGGCCCGTTTGAACGGGAAAACTCTTTCATCCTGTGGAACAGCAGTATTATATGAGAAGATTACGCACTCTCGGCTAACCTTGTAATACTTGCAGACATCTCACAGAAGGAAATAAGAGCTCTTAGTAAGGTTCTGCTCTTCAGTCCTTTCAACCTAAACTAATCAATTATATAAATAGGCAATCATGTTTCCTTTACACACCTTTTGCGGCTAAACTATACCTCCAAGGTATAGAAAGGTATCTTGATGCTAATGTGGAGGCAATTTTTTAAATTTCAAATTAGTTTAACATAAAGCGAAAAAATCAATTCAAAAGTGACACCACTACTAATGCCGTACATGTGCATGGTTGGAGCGGAAATGCCTCCTAAATGTATGCTTTAATATTGATACTGAATTACTGAAACGTGCTAAGCAGCAGTTTAGGAATAAGATGTATGTACATATGTATTAGAGGTCTACATCGGAAGATATTTGGCTTCACATTGAAGTTTTCTAACGAATACGCTTCCTTCTCTTCCCCTCACTGAGAGCGCGGATAGTGAAGAGAAGTATAGTCGCTAAGCATCGAGTAACTAAGTAAAGTACACTTAGGTCTCTTTTTATGCGGATTTTTTTATGCGGATTTGAATTTACGCGGTTTTTTAAACCATTACTTCGCAGTAGCGATTTTTCTTTTTTAAGAGTTTTTATTACTTTTTTCAGTGTGTGATAGACAACGCTTCTGATAAATAATTTGTCTTTGTATTTTTACATTACACTGTGGAACAAATTCAGGTGAGCAAAAGTTAGGTCGATTCTGAGAAAGAGGGGTGAAAATAGAGGCAAAATTAGATTCCGTATCGCGGCGTTTTTTTATGTTAGTTCGAATTTTTTTTAAATCGACATTCGAACTTTGCAGTCAAATGCCGATTTTCAGAATATTGTTTATATGGTTTTTTGGCTATAACTCGTCGACTAATTGATATTTTTTCAATGTGTTAAAGCCAAATTATTGCTAGAGACCTGTGCAACAATTTGTTGGTTGCAGTGCTTCCTAGTCGCTGCCTAGGACACAATTAGCGCATTATTGCGCCATTTTGATGCACTTCTCGCGGGGGATAAATATCTTGTCTATGCACTTCCTATGTTGCTAGGTCGAACCATTTCGACTCTCTAATGAATCTGCCGATTTCGCTAATGGTAGCTCCTGATAGGTCGGTTAGTTCTGCTACTAGATGTTTCCCTAACGTCTTGTGTCTAATGTTCGAAAGGCCTGGACTTTCACACAGGAAATGCTGGACACTTTCTTCGCTATCTTCTAGTTGACAGCTGCGGCAAATCATATGTGCATCAATTAAAATAAAAAAAAATTGATTTAGAAAATTTTTGTATTGCTT